GTCAACCTAAAGCACGTTCCCATAGAGTAGGGGCTGGCCACCACCTCTTGTTTTTGTACATAAAGTTTTATTTATTCCACTCATGCTCATTAATCTACATATCGTCTCTGACGCTACCCTGGCATCGTTAGCAAAGTGTGACAGAGATCACATGGATCCCAGGACTAAAATATCTACTATCTGGTTCTAAGAAGAAAACGCTTGTCCAGCCCTGCCATAGAGAATCAGATAACCCTTGAGTGGACCCGTCGCTGACACTACCAAGTAACAGTGAGAGGCACACAGACCTCCTCACCTTGCTTCTGTGTTCCAAGTGGCTTTTCTTAACATCTCTTCTACTCTTGCTTCCTTTCTACCCATTCTCCAGTCTCCTACCAGACGGAGTCTCCCAAACCACCCATCTTATGTTGTTCACTCTCTGCTTGAAGCCTTTCCAAGTCCCTGCCACCTGCCAGTTCAACAGACTCCTCACAAGTCCCTGAGCCCCGCTGGCCCCCAGCTGCCTGGTGGTGAGCATGATGAAGACCACACGTATGAGAGCCCCGGGGACCCTCCAGGAGGAGCACAGAGGTCCGCAGCTGCGTCTGTCATGAGCTGGCTTCATTCCTACCACTTCCTGGGCAACGGCAGGACTTGGGCATTCTTGATTTGAGGGAAACTGAGACTGAGAAAGGATTCATAGGTCAAAGGGCACAGAGTCGCAGTAAATGCAGGATGTGTAGGTCCAGAGTTTGAAGGTCCAGTGCGAGGAGGCAGCTACTAATGCTAGATTGCAGACTGCGCTGAAAATTTGCTTGGAGAGCAGAGTTCAGGTGCTCTTAACACACACCAAAGAAGGTGACGATGTGAGGCCATGGCCAAGCTAATGTACTTGACTGTAGAAATCATATGTGTATATGTATGTATGTATACATGCACACACATATATCAAAACATTATGTTGTATACCTTAAATATATACAATAAAAAGGGATTAATGCCAACTACCCCTGCGGCTTCTGGGGAGAATTAAAGGGGGAACTTGTTTATAGGACTTGGCACCTGGTAAAGAGCTCAATAACTTAGGCTTCTTCTCCTCTAGCCTGCTTTCTCTGTGTTGATCTGAAATGAGGATGAAGCCTCTGAGATGAAGAGACAGAGAGGAGGAGACCAGGAGCGGCGCTGGAAGAGAAAATGGAGTGAGGACAACATCTGCTTTCTATTCCCCAAGGCTCAGGGGCCCGCGCGCCCTCCTGGTGTAACGTTTCTTCATTCTGTATAAACAGAAAGGATGATTCTCGTAATCTCAGCAACAAAATACGCAGGCATAAAAATGGGTCATATTTTACTTTAATGAGAGAAATGAGGGACAATTTCCTTCACACAGAGAAGCCTGGGTTGCCGTAATTAACACCAAATGGTCCCGAGGCTGATGGCTGGAAATGATGAAGAGGTTGTTGGAATTGAGAGAAACCTGGGGCTTCAGGAGCTGCTAAAACATTGCCAGCCCTCCATGACAGCCACAGAGCTCTCCCCAGCCCGCCAGCCAGCTGCTAGCTCCTGAGACCGGGAGGATACTCACTAAGCACTTGCTACGTGCTTTATACACAAACACACTTCTTTGGACATAAGAACACACACACACACGCACACACATGCTCACACACACACACAACAATAAAGGACATTCCATTTTTACTTCCCACAAGAGAGGACTAAGGTTCAAATAGGTTAAGCCTAAGATCTCACAGCTTGGAAGTTATGGGACCCTTCACCATCTGGCATTACCCTGACTTTTAAATCTCATCTCTTCCCTATAACAAACCCCTTGCATAATTTATAAGCCAGCCACAGGGGACCACTTCCTCTTCCCATTTAGTCCCTGCCTGTTCATGTGTTGGCATCTCAAATTGGACAGCCCTCCACATCTTTGCTAGTGAAATTTTGCTTCCCTTTCAAAAACCAACTCAAAATTAAATAGCATGATCCGGGTAGGAGCATAGATCAGTGGTCTACAGCAAGCACAGGGACCCTGCAATCACCCAGGTCACCTTCAAGCCAGTTCTGCCATCTAACCCACCTCTTCTCTTGGAGCCATAGTCACTCCTTTATAACATGAGGGGAGCGACTGGGATGTCATGAGGAGAGAGTGAGAAATACATGTAACGCGCCTTGTACAGGGCTTGACCACACTGCTCTCCCTGACACCTCTTGGTTGCCAGACACCAAGACAAAAACCTAAACACCACTATCATATCAGCTGCTCTCTGTGCAAACCTAACCTCTGCCCACCGAAGAGCAAACTCCCCACTGGGCCCAAGCCTACCAGCCCATCTTTCCTTTAGGGGCTACTCCAGTAATGATGGACTAGGTGCCAACTCCCAAGGCTCTCACACTAGCTGCTGACCCCAGACTTAGGACAGAAAAGTACCAACCCAGAGAAGGTATCTGACTTGCAGGAAAGGAAAGCATGGTGATGGTGACAGTAATAGAACCAAATTCCATTCTGCCAAGACATCACTGGTTAGCAAAGGTAGAGGGCGGTGCTAGGGAGGCTCATAAATATTTCCAGTTCTCTGCCTTCTGGACACTCAGGGGGACTGGCATTATTCTGTCGATATGCAGTTCAGCATCTTCATGTGACATTCTTTGGCCAATGACATGTGAGGGAAAAGAAGAGTGTCACTTCAGGGAAGAAGCACTCAATGGTGGTCTAAGTCTTTCCAGCACTTTCTCTCCTTGCTGTTGTCATATGGAAAGTTTATGTGGACAGAGTGCCATGCAGAGCTGTCACGTGGAGGACAGCTTTCCTATTTTCCTGGTGGGTCTCCTGGGACCAGCAGCAGACTGCATGCAAAAAAAAAAAGGTATTTTTAGAAGTTTTTGAAATTTGACAGGATATTGATCCCTGAAGCAAAACCTGGAGGAAAACTGTTAGCAATAGAAGAGCAAGGGTCTTGACTATTGTCTGCCACACCCTGGGCCCAGGAAGAACATGAAATAATGTCATATTATATAAATAGGTATATTTGTGTATACATACATACACATAAATATACATACATAAGCATATGTCATTGCCTTTGTTGTTATCATTGAAAGGCATCTTCAAACATTAAAGAATTTAAAGAATATGTGTCCATGCCCCTAGCTGAGGAAATTACTTGAGGAAGGATGCTAATCAAACGAAAATTAAGTTAAAGCCAAAGTCTCAAGGTATAGAAGATGACAAATACAAGGAAGAACAGTGAACAACACTTTTGGTAACATTTTATAGTTACATCTGAAAGAGCGATGGCCATCTGACTGGGAATGTAATGTGATTTAAGACTTATTGAAACAGAAGAGGTATTTGGTAAGAGAATATGGGATACGGGGATGAACATTCTGAATTTACTCAGCAAACCCAGGAGGTATGTGTACGAGGAGGGGGTAGAGGGGGGAGATCCCTCAAGGGAGCAGAAAAATGAAGAAACTAAAGCATTTAAAGATCTCATCAGTGTAAAGAGCACAAAGCCAAGCCAAACACTGAATAGGGAAGAATTAAGAAGAGTTATTGAATTTTTATGGAGCAACAGAGAAATGTTTGACCGTAAAGATGGTTCACAACTGTGAGGATTAAGATGCCTGTTATTTGATCATTTACTCAACAAAAAGTTATTGGGCATCCAGTCTCTGCCAGGTGTGTTTCTTGGGAACTGGGAATATATTAGTAAACAGGTCAGTAAATAAAACAGAGGAGGATCCTACTCTCATTGTTAAGAGAAACAACAGGCAAGGTACAGGTCATTAAGCAAAATCCTTTCAGAGGGAGAGAACTACCACTTTTGTTCCTTAGGAGAAAATAGAAATCATCCACCTTAAGATGAGAGATTTATTCTAGGCAAGAAAAAAACTTGCAATAATTCTAAGGGAGGGAAAAGTGTGCTGTGTTCAAGCAAAGAAAAGGTCAGAGAGACAGGAGTTTGCATGCCAGGTGGAGGAGAGGAGGTCACAATACCAGTTCACAGGGGCGCCAGCTCTCCCAGAACTTCACCAGGCTCAGTGAGAATGTGGAATTAGCATACATGTATGAGAAGCTGCTGGGGAGTTTAAAGAAGGGAAGTGTCATGACCTGATTTGTCCTAAGATCACTGGCTGAAGTGTGACTGTAAACTGCATAGCAAAAATGAAATTAGGCCACCAAGTGGGAGACAATGGTGACCAGGACCAGGGTGGTAGCAATAGGCATGGAAAGCAAATGCCAGAATAAGATTCTCTCAAAGACAGTTAGTGGAGCTTGTCGATGGGTCAGAGGTCACAGGTAAGGGAAAGGAATTATCAGAGATGATTTGAAGTTTTTGACGTGAGCAGACGGTGAATGAAAAGACTGGGAAAGAACAGATTGGAGCTGGGGGAGAAGGTTGTGAACAAAGTTATGGATCAAGTGAGTTCAGTTGAAGATGTTTAAACGTCCAAGGGGAGGTGTCAAGAACACACTGGGATATGAAAGCTCAGGAAGGAGTTGCACTTGGACATTCTCTAGAGAGCAGGCCCCTAAAGCCAAAGTGAGGACTAATTCTGCTGTAAGCTACAGAGATGGCATCTGGGCGGGAGTGTAACACATGGCAGGTGCTCAACAAATGGTTCTCTCCTCCCGTCTGAATCAAGGTGGCCTCTCTGAGTGCACAATGGACTGACTGCTGTGGCCCTGATAAGGACAGAGCGTGTCACATGACGTCTTTCAGAACCTCAGTTTTCCCAGCTATTACAAAAACAGAAACAGATCAGTAGTGGTCACTGGGAACTGGGTGGGGTGCAGAATGGGAATGAATTATGATGAAGCGTAAAGGGCAATTGGTATGTTTTTTGTATTGATTGTATGGATGACTCAAAGGGTATGTGCATGTCTCAAAATTCTTCAAATTGTTCATTTCAAATAAGTAGAATATTGTATGCCAATCATACCTCAGTAATGCTTCTTATTAAAAGAGGGGGGCTGCTAGGCATGGTGCACACACCTATAACCCCAGGGGTTCAGAAGGCTGAGGTAGGAGGATGGTGAGTTCAAAACCAGGTTCAACAACTTAGTGAGACCCTAAGCAACTCAGCAAGACTCTGACTCTAAAGAAAATATTTTTAAAAGAGCTGGGGATGTGGTTTACTAGTTGAGCACCCCTGGGTTCAATCCCTGATTCTGAAAAAAAAAAAAGGAAAAGGAATGATTTCTGCTTAATTTTTTTCCCTGGATAGTCACATCCTTATGATTTAAAATAATAATTGTTAAAATTCTTGAAATAACAAAAATTAGATGACAAATGAAATATATTTTATTGCTAGTGACTTTTGCTCTCTGTGAATGGCCTTTGCCTTATTTAAGAGTAAAGAGTAAAAGCTGAAAGATGTATGAGAGGAAAATATGAAGATTTTCCTTAAAAAATGTCAAAGGCAGATGGGAAGAGTACTATATAAGTGAGAGCTCTCCAGAGAAACAGAACCAATAGCATGCAGGATGTGTGTGTGTGTGTGTGTGTGTGTGTGTGTGTGTGTGTGTGTGTGTGTGTGGCAGCATGTGTATACATGTATATGAGTATATAAATGTGTGTGTGTGTGTGTGTGTGTGCATGCGTGTAGATTTGGCTGACATGATAATGGAGGCTGACAAGTCCCAAGCTCTGCAGTCAGCATTCTGGAGACCAAGGGGAGCCAAGGTGTAGTTCCAAGTCAAAGGTCAGCAGGCTTAAGACCCAGGAAGAACCCATGTTTCAGTTGATGTACCAAAACAGGAAATAATGAAGGTCCCAGCTCAAAGGCAGGAGCTCCCTCTTCCACAGGAAGGTCAGCCTTCCTGTTCTATTCAGGCTTCCACCCGATTGAATGAGACCCACCTTGATGAGAGGGCCATCTGCTCTGCTCAGTCTACAGACTCAAATGTTAACCTCACCCAGAATTACCTTTGCAGACACACGCAGGACCATCCTTACCTAAGTGTCTGAGCACCCAGGACCCAGCCACATTGACACATAAAATTAACCACCACAGGACTATTTTTGAGTGAGTTTCTAATTTACAGCAAACCTCTGTTGCCAATAGTCTGTTCCTTTTATCAGCTAAAACTCAAAGGTCAAAGAGGTGATGTCACTTGCCCAAGAATGCCAAAAGGGAAGAGATGGATGTAAATTTCGTTTCACCTGAGTTTACTGTACCAGGCTTCACTTTTTAGAATCCCCAAATTTAGAGCTGAATGAGACCTTATAGAGCATCTGGTCCCCATCCCCGGGTTTACTGAGACCCAGAGAGAGGCAGTCACTCCACCAGTCATGGGAGAGACCACTCCACTTCTGTCTGGGGCTGGGGTGCCTTTTAGTTGAATCTGACTCTATGCTGGCCAAGTCTAGTCTTGGAGGGAGGAGAAGTCTACCCTGGGATCCCGTTCTGCCCTCAAGGTCTCAACAGCTCTTGTTCTAGAATGTTTCCACAGATGACCTCCATTCTGAGTTCTCACCAGGTGCAGCCCCTCCTTCCCAGGCTGTCTTGGTAGGAGAAGCCGGACATTTCACAAGCTGCCAAATAGTATCTCTTTTCCTCCTCTGGTTGGAAAAAAAAAGATGCTCAGATTTCCTGAATTCCAGGGTGGGGAGGGCTGCCTGGTGGGGTCATCTCCTTTGTATGAGACCATTTACAATTTGAGGAAACCCATTTTTTTAAGGCCGTAAATGACAGGATCCCAGAATGCTAGTGAGTGCCAGAGACCCGAAGAAAAAGGAACAGGTCAGGAGGAGAAAAGGAAAGACGCCAGTCCAGAGAACATTCTTTTCCTGATATTGACACAGAAAAGCCGGGCCCTGCCCTCCCCAGAAAGCTGTGTTTCTGCCTTTCTTTTCCTCCTGCCTTTTTTATACACAGGTTGTTGTTTTCCGAAGGCCACCAAAGCCACCTGGGGCTGGTGGGAGAGGGTGTCATCTCTCCCAGCTGTTAACTGACAATTGCTCTGCCCCTCCCCCATGCCCCACAGCTAAGATGCCGTCAGAAGGCCATGGGGGGGGGCCTTCACTGGATGGAGGTGGCAGGGGTGGGAGGGGAGTTGGGACCACATACGGCCTGCAGTGCTGGACACCAGCCCCAGTTCCCAGGATGCTCAGGGAAGGCATGATGATGATGGGCCCTGGCATCTTCCCACCTCTGTGGCTGCCTACACAGAGACTCCATTCAACTGCCACTGCTCCAGCTTCCTCTCAGGTTGTCATCATGACAGCAGCCACTGCTCCGATGACCACTGCCACCACTTTGGAGGTCACTGCAGCTATCATTGCCACACCTCTAGTTGTTCCACAGCAACTACCACTTCAGCTGTGGGTCAGGATGCCCTTGCAGCTACTGTGCCAATCTGGGGACTTGTGGGGTGCTGGGGGAGGTTCCTACAGTATCTAGCTCTAAGCACCTCCCCCTCCCCCAAGACAACCAAGAGCAGCTGGACCCAGCAGGCAGGCACAGACCAGTATGAGCGTGCAAAAATCCTACAGCTAACAGATGACGATGCACCTAAACTTCCCACTCCCTTTGTGTATAGAAGCAGCCACTCCTGTTCTCCTTGAGGAGCCGGTGTGGGAATTCTTCCCCTGGACTGCCTCCCTTGTGCTGCAGCATAAGCCCCAATCAGGCCTCATTTGGAGGGTTTTATCTCACTTTCTCTCTCCAGTTGAGAAAGTTACACTGAGAGCTATTAACACTGACTGAGCTGCTAACTCTATCTGCTGAGAGCTGTCATAGAATCTGTGACACTAAGGGACCTGCAACTTGCCTTTTCATGATTTCGATTTGAATTGAGCAAAAGAAACCAAACAATTGCCAAACAATAATATTACCTGGCATGTATGGAGCACTTGGATGATCAACCAGTATCTTAGATTATCTGTCATTATATTCACTCCAAAACGAAGTGGGTTTTTTTTTTGTAGTTTTTATTTTACTAATAAAGAAACTGAGGCACAAAGGTATTGAATAAGCATCCAAAGTCACACAAGCAATACCTGGTGGACTTGTTTTTTGTCTCTGTCAGCCCAACTTCAGAACCTGTGCATGCATTTATACAGTGGTTTACAGTTTTCAACACACATTCCCACAACACGCCTTGAATTAAGGTGTGCTACGTTGCTTGGTTTTCTTCTCTGTAAAATGGAGTTTACAGAGTGAAGAGATTGAACCGTGTCCACCTGACAGATCAATAGTGGACCAGAGAGGTAAGCATCTATTCATTTGAGTAATATTTATTGACTACAATGAGGCAGGCATAGTAACAGCAGTTAAACCTCAGAAAAGAAGTAAAATAATTAAAATTTTCAGATTTACCATAATTGCCTAGGTCCCCTACAAGTTCTTTATTGATTTTATTCAGTTCTTTAACTGATCCATGAGGCCATTCACATAGGGAGGGCCATCTACTCTGTATAGGTGAGAAAACTGAGGAGTGAATTTCAAGTCCTAAGCACTGAAACATTCAAATGTCTCTTCCATGCAGTGATCTCAATTGTCAGACACCTAGGCCAAGATCCCAAAACGGAGGCATTCTGCCTGTGGTCACCCACCAACGAGCAGAACAGCTGAAATCTGATGGGCTCTGAAGTTCATACTCTCTTCTTTAGAACTCTAGCTTGGGCAAAATAATTCTCTACTCAAAAATTAGCCCGTGAGCATTTAGATTAGACCCTTTGAAAAGTCAAAGTCCACAGTTACTCCAGATTTTAACTGCTCTTTAAAAAGTTTGGCTGTTTCAGAAGATGCATACCTGAGTGTCCCCTGAGTGTCCTCACAGAGGACATATATTCTGACACCCAATAGAAGTGAAAGCAACTCCTTGTCCAAGACTCATAAAGTTAGCACCTTTATGTGCTAACGTTGCATAGATGGAGTTTTCCCTGGAAACCGAAAACCAGACCTGCCTTGCAGAGGAAAGGAGAGCTGAGCTGAGCTCAGTTTCCCTCCCTCCTGTCTCTGGGCCCAGTCGGATGAGACCAGCTCCTTTGATGCAGCAGACTTCAACCTGCAACTCAAAGGTCACCTGAGAGAACAGCAGGGCCTTTCCATTCTCCAGGGCTCATATTCTCCTGAGGTTCCCTGTTCTTTCTTGCAGAGATCCTAGGGATCAACCTGCTTTTTCTCTTCTGTGGAACTGCCAGCATCCTCCCCCGCCTCTCTGTCCAGCTCTAACCACCTCATCCCTGATGCTGAACACCAAGGAAGAAGGCGAGCATTTTACCTTCACAAACACACTCACACTTGCTGCCCTGAAGTTAAGACCTTGACCCTTTTGAGTCTTACCAGGGGTTTTAATGCAAAAGAGATCAGAGGTTTGAACCTGAAATGTCCCTCAGAGGCCTGGGTATAGAAGGCTTAATCCCAAACTTGGTGCTATTGAAAGATGATGAGATCTTTACAAGTGGAGCCTGGTAGGAAGTCTTCCAGTTATTGGGGGTGTGGCTCTGAAGGGAATAGTAGGACTCTGCCCCTTCCTCTCTGTCTTTCATTTCGTCAGCAAGAAGTGAGCAGTTTTTGCTCTGCTGTGATGTGCTGCCTCACCCACCAGTCCAAAAGCAATAGGGCCAACTAACCAGGGACTGGAATCTCCACAAATGAGACACATAATAAACCTTTCTTCTCTTTAAGTTTCCTATCTCAGGTATTTTGTTACACTAATGGAAATCTGACTAGTACAAGGTAATTGAAGTAGCTTGTACAAATGGGAGGTCCACTGTAGCTGGAGGCCAGCAAAGACAGCAGGGACAACCACATGAAGAACATGCAGGGTTCATTAAAGAGTTTGGATTTGTTATGGAAGCAAAGAGAAGTTGCTGAGTAATTTTTAGGCAGAAGCAAAACAATGTCAGATCTAAATTTTTTAAAAAATCACTCTTGCAGCCAAGGAAAAGGTAAGGGAAGAGAAGAGAAGTATAAGACAAGAGAGAATGGGAATCATCCTGGCTGCCTTGCCAGGTAAGGAGCTCCTTGTCACTGGAGTATGCAAACAGATAGAGGAAGAGAAAATTCCCATATTGATACAAAGTCAAAATACCTTATATCCTGAGGTCCCTTCTAGTTCTGAGACACCAAGATCGCCTGGCAGAAAACTTAACTTGTCCTGGTGCAACTCCATGCCCCATCAAGACCCCAAGTTCCCAGGCTATGGACTGAGAGGCACTGGGGACAGAGGTAGGTCTGGAACTGCAGATCCTCTATCTGAACCTGAGTATGTTTCTGTCTCCATGGTATATTTGAGGTCCCCTTGCCAGTGCCCCCCATGGGGACAAGGGGCAGTTCCATTTTGTTGTGCAACAGCTCATAAATCCAGGAATTACAAACAAAGGAGATTCTGTTACAGGTAAATACCATTTGAAATACAATCTCTGTAAGGACTTTATGTTTGTCATGAATTTTATAAATTGTTGCAGTAATTAACAGGGCATAAAACAGGTTTCCTACCCCATCTAGGAAGGCTCTCCTGAATGCTCCATTGTGAGATGTGCCCTCAGGATCTCAGGGCGGAGGTGCCCTGGGTGCTGCTGGGGGTGGGAGAGGGTAGTTCCAGCGTAACACCGGGAAAAACACCTCCATTCATGGGCGGTAGTTTAATGGGCTTATTTTAGGTGGCTTAGAAAATGACATAGAGATTTACCTCCTGGCCCTTCTCTCCATAAATTAGAACGGGGCCTCTGGCCTGGGAGACAATTAGTACCTTCCCGTGCATTTAAATCCAGAAACTAAGCATGGAGACCAGTTTTCTCGCTTGCTATAATTGAATAGGAATTGGGGAATTTCCCACTTTTTCCTACTTGTTTTCTTTGTCTTTGGGAAAACTGTCAAACGCTGCATGGGAAATAACACCCCGATTCATGAACACAAGTTTTGATTTCTTTCTGGACCCTGTTGCCTTCGTGAAGTCTGGGATGACCCTGAGAATAGATTCCAAGTCCTCCTGTAGCTGCCACCTGGGAGGATGCTGTCTCCCTCCACACAGTTTGCAGGCCATCAGGATCATCAATAAACAGCGATGTCCTTGGTCCCTCCTCAGGTGCTTTATAGGTGAGAAACACACAACTAGTATTAACAATACCTCGGAAGCCACTGCCTAGCAAGAACATCAAACCATGTTGCAGAGTAAACAGAAGCTCTCTGGCCCCTCTCCCATTTTCCAATTATGTGTCCTGTGGGGTTTTAAGAGGAAAGTGACAGAGTGAAGCCACAACGTCAAGAAGCTCATTCTAGCTACTGCATGAGTTGGAGGAAATCAATGTTAGACACACAGCTCAGATTAGGAGGGTGATCAATGATCCAGACCAAAGATAATAGCATGATGGTTCTAACCTGCACCTTTTATCTGGTTTGGATGTAGACTAAGTTCATTCCCCCAGAGTTTCGTGCTCTGAACCCTCAGTCTCCAGTGTGGCAGTGTTGAGAGGTGTTGGGTTCTTTAAGAGGTGGGGGTTTTTAGAAGGTAATTAAGTCACAAGGTATCACCCTTGGGAGAAACTGATCCTGGTATCACAGAATAAATTAGTTCTTTGAAGAATGGGTTGTTATCAAGTTAAGTCTGACTGCTCCAGTGCTATCCAGCTTCCTATCTCACCAGGTAACCTCACCAGCACACATTCTTACCATTGTGTGACCATCCACCAGGAGGCCCTCACCAGAACCAAACAAATGCCAGCACCGTGCCCTGACTTCCAAAACTGTGAGCCAAATAAATTTTTGTTCACAATTAAGTCTCCACTTCACGTATTTTGTTATAGCAACACAAAATGGATCAATGCAATTAATGTTTAATTGTTGAAGACAAAGCAAAAAAAATAAAGCCAAACAAGGAAAAATCAATGAGCCAACCAAAGTCATGAGTAATAATGGCAACTAATACTTTTCTCACTTTCAGTTTTCCCCATAGTTTCATGAACTCACTCAATCACTAAATCCTCTCCCTAGCACTTTAATCCCCATTTTACGTAAATGGAAAGTACAACTTGAGAGGATTAAATAATTTTCCCAAGATCGTGCTGCTGGTTTTAGGTCCTGGTTATGTTCTTGTGGCTCTTTCCTCTGGCCCGTTTCAACTGAAGAACTAAACATGGCTCAGAGACAGTCTGTACTCCATAAATGCTCAGTGGATAAATCCCTCTGCCATGTATCCTCGCTGTTCCTCGGGGATTGAATCCTACCTACTCGGTATCGCTTTTTGGCATTTGTGTACATAAAGTAGTAGACAATAATAAATTCCCCAGGTTGGTCGTAAACTCCTTAAAGAAGGTATCATGTTTCTTACCTCCTGGCAAAAAAAAAAAAGAGGCACTCATAACTTAATTATGTAATAGACATGTAGACTTCTACAACGAGAGGAGATATTTGAAAGTCTCTGGTTAAATTCCTTCATTTTATAAATGAGGGAACTGAGACTTGGAGGGAAAGAGTAGGTGGTGAAGGTCCGTAGAAGGACGTAAGTCAAGTGTGCCCGGCTGCTTTCCCTGAGACGCTTCAGCCTAGAGCTGCTCCAGGCTCCAGGATGCACATCAGAATAACATGCAATGAGACCCAGCCTTTGCCCTAAAAAGCTCATGTGCAGGACAAGAGAGGTCTTGGGGGCTCAGCGAATACTCCACTGCCTGAAGCCATGGCATAGACAAAAATATGGGAGAGAAAGAGGTTGCAGAGGACAGTCTGTGCTCAACTCAAGGACATTCAGATTCAATTGCTCACTCTGTCTCAAAAAATAAATAAAAAAATCACAGCATATTTAGAATAGTATTTAACTGTGTGGTCACTGAGATATCAGATGTGAGCCCCTGTTTGCCTAAGGGACACATAAGCCTAAGAGTTCACGCCCGTTCTTCTGCGAGGCTCATGGTATTTCAGTCAAGGATTGTGGTCACTACTCAAGCTTTAGGTGCATCTGGGAGACGTGAGGCCTTATACAGCACTGAAATGACAGAATCGTTTTGCCTCGGTGCTAGCCGTAGAGATCA